ATATTTATATAATAAATTACAATCTTTATTTAATATGTATCGTTAGTGACTCGATAACTCTGAAATGAAGTGTAACTCTAACTTAGCATTGAACAAGCAACAGGCGTTGCAACTAAACCAGACGTCGTCGATTCCTTTAATTATTGTACTATAATTAATAGTGCCTAAGAGTCAGTCACTTCAAAACCGTATGTCTGCCGTCCACTACCTACAACGCGGCTAAGTGACAAATGGTCAAATATCCGATTTAAATAAAAAATAGAGCACAAAATTATCTTTTAAAAACAGTTAAAATTAGTTAACTTGTTTGACTTATCGGAACTTATATTAACTATGCATAGTTGCAATATCATTAAATTTTCTAAAACTTCAATATTCTAAAACTGGGTTCTGGTTTTTTATAATATCAGAAAAAAATATTTTGTCACTTTGCTGTGTTTTAGGTTTTAGTTAGCGGTGACAGATTTATTAAGATAACAGGATATGGTTTACTATATTTTTTTTACACTGTGAAACGTGTCTTCTCAGTCCTACAAAAACATTGTGTGAATCGTAAATCAGAATGATGTATCATTTATTTTTTTAACCCACTTCAAATAATCCAAATGTTCTATAAACGACTGCATTATTTTTGCTATATGATTTAGGTACTAATTGGCGCCCCCGACTTCATCTGCGTAGGATAAGTACTTCGCATGGAATGTACTATACGAATTTTAATAGTTTTATTAAAAATTTTATGTCCTATTTCAGATTTTAATGGGTATTAAGTCGTACGTTTGTGTCCTGCTAATAAGTCCCATCTCTATACCAAAATTCGTCAATATTGGTGCAGCGGTTAAGGCGTGAAAACGTAAAAAACAGAGTTACTTTTGCATTTATAATATTAGTTTGGATAATATACATAATATTGTATCATTTTATAAAATTTGTCATACGGTCAGTACTGTCTTCGCACATTCGATTTTGTATCTGTAAATGTAATATTTATTACGGCATAAAAAATCACAAAGCAAAAAAGTGAGTTGCGAATAACTGGTACAAAAATGTTAAAAGAAAACATGCCAATGTAATATTTAATAAAATAAGTACTTTTATGTTTACTTCGAAATTCGAGTAACTAGGTATTATGTCTTAGAAATTTACAAAGACAACGTGATCACCTTCGAACCTTGGGCCGTTAATTGTCCCTTAACATGGAGCACTGAAATTGGAACCGAAACTGTCAGTTGATGAAAATAAGGTGTAAAATAGGTAGGTAAGGTAGCTCCTTGTGAAAGAGTTCGTCCAAGGAAGTAGGTACTGCCACCTTACCTATTCCTGCCGCCAAGCAGGAATATGAGCATTACTGTGTTCCGGTTTAGAGGGGTAAGAGTGCTGGTGAAGCTACAGGCACACGGAACTCGTCAACTTATGTCTCACGGTGACGGGCGCATTGGCATTGCCCCTAACATTTTCGCGATTTAAGGCTCTGAGTGGCACTGTAACTGTTATAGATAGACGTATCGCTAACCTCCAGGCGCACGATTTGTTTGAATTTGGTTTTCTGCAACTACTTAACTAACTTTGCAAATACTTTTTTTTGTTCATAGACTTGTGGGACTCCCCAATGCTGTAACATTGGGGAGTCCCACAAGTCCCATCGGGAATTGCAACTCCACACCAGGACATAATTTTCATTTTATTATCAAACTTACTAAAACGAATCCTGAAATAAATACTATATTATTATTATTTAATTGATATTTGGGCTTATAATGGAGGGTAGAAATTTTAAAGTAGATCACATAATTGAATTTTTCACAATTCCAAATCTTTATTTTATTTATTGTCTTTTAATTGTATATGTATCACGGTAAGTAAGATTAATTGGAAATTATTAATAATCGTCAATCATTATTAATTATTTCCGAAATTTGAGCTAAAAGTTATAAATTAATTACTTTTACCGGTGATTATTAATAATTAAACCTTAGAATTGATAATTAAAATAAATTTTCTATTTACTTGTTTACAAATAAAATTTCGCTAGGCAGGACACTGGAAACGCAAAGAAAAGACGTTTCCAATTGCAATTACAGTTGTACTGGCGAGTTTTATTACTATTACCGAAGAGAGAGAAAAAAAATTATTTTAGTAAATGACACATTTTATTAAATGACGCATTTCCTTACATTTAAGTTTTAATAAACAGTCGTTAAAACGTGAAACATGCTTCCCCGATTTTTTTTCGAAATGCCGCTTACATCCTTCCTACAAATCACCGACGATACGTACAATTAAGAGTCGTACCCTTGGCATAATAGAGCCAAATGTGATTATACGTCAAAAGTGCTTATATCATAAGAAAGTCATAAAAACATGAACCAAATTATGTATATTCATGAAATTTTAAAACTCCTAAATATGAGTTTTAAAAAAGCATAAAAATTATCGACTATTTTCATTCGTAGAATATTTAAGTTAACGGGTCTCCTGAAAAGTTGTCATTTTACCGATATGGTCTTATTACAGAAAGGGTGCGACACTTTCCTCTCTCCATTTAATTAAACATATTAATTTTCCGATTTCATTAGAATTTGTGATGAAACTTTCACATTCAATAGCTATTAATGAAAATCGTTAAACCTGATTCTTCACCTCACGGTGTTGAACGTTTCGAAACGATTTGCCACATAGTATCGAGAAATTACTTTACGTTGCCTTACCAGTACCTCTACCCTGCGTAGTGATAAGTAAGTATTGTCGCTCGACCGCGAGTATTATTTCTATAGAACATTTTAATAGTCCTTACCGACATATTATAGAGGCGATATAAAAATGCCATGGGATTAACTGACCCCTACTACGAGTTTAGGCTGTTGATAGTCGTTAATGACCGCTTAAATATGCAACAATTTTTGTATGGCAAATTTTACATCCCTGGCGGTCACAAGGATTGAAATTTTCTATATCCAAAAGAACGAGGAGTTGGAGGACATCATGTATGAGCCCAATATTATCCGTAAAATCAAGTTTGCACGACTCCGCTGGCTCGGACACCTCGAAAGGATGCCAGCTCGTAAGGCGGTGAAAAGGGCCTACATGTGACGTCCTATGGTAGTCAACGACTGGCTGGTCGTTCCAAATACCGATGAAGGGACGAAGTCGAGGTTTTCCTCGTGAAGTCGTCAGCGCCCTTCACGCTGAGAATTGGGAGAAGATAGTGCGCGTTTGGGTCTACTAGTATCGGATACCGAGACCCACTTCGGGGCACTGAACCAGCGGAGCAAGTACATCATATAATATAAATATATTACATGGTTACTAATGACGTCTCAGTCTCATAGTAGAGATAATTTACCTCTGGGATGAGTTTACGTAAAATATGCTTATTGTACCCTTATTATACCTCGAGAACTAAGTTTTCTATGGATATGGAAATGGAAGATGTTTTCTTTTACAACCAGTTTATGATCAGTATTTCCTCTGATCAAGAAACTCAAACAGATTAATATGTTTCAATTTATAGAAATAATTTTTCTATTATTTTTTTTATTATTTTCCTATTAATTTAGTAAAAAAGTAGCATTCAGTAGCAGTAGAGCTCCTTGTTCAAAGAGTACATCCAGGGAAATACTGCCAGCTTGTCTATTTCTGCCGCCAAGCAGAATCGTGAGCATTGCTGTGTTTCAGTTTTAAAGGGTGGTGAAATTACAGGCACGAGGGACTTGTCAACTTATGTCTCAGGGTGACAGGCGCAGTGGCGGTCAAACTTTTGCGATTTAAAGCTGTGAGTGGCACTGCAACGTTATGGGCAGGCGTGTCGCTTACCACTATTTCAGGCGCATGACTTGTTCGTCCCGACACCTGGTATTATAAAAAAAGTAACGTATATTGGAATCATTGGAATGTTCTTTGGTAAATTGAAAATAAGGTATTCAAATTAATAACTTTTGAAAATATAAAGAAGAGTGGGGCTGTTTGCATTAATATATTAGAACTATTATATTTGGTTGATGACTTTATCATCTCAGTTAGGGGTGACCAAGTAAAGGTCCCGAACCGGTATATTAAAAAAAATTATATATGCGATTTAGTTCCGAAAAAAATAGTTTCGCATCCAATATACAATATTCGCGAAAATATAAGAAATTGGTAAGTATTTTCTACAAATATTTAACGTGATCGCTAGCAACAACAAACAATGCAACTTATGGTAGGGGTTCCCTAACTTAGTTGGGAAAACTCAGTTTTGCCAGTTCTCCTTTACGAACATCAGTCATTTTCAAATTCCCTTTTATATAATACTTTCAACATGACCTCAAAACAGGATATCCTGTGGTTAACTCACAGAAATGGAATTTAGATTTCTGGGGGTTAGCTGAATGCAACTAACTATATGTACGCCGAGGTCGACCTTTTGTTACGTTTCTTACGACGTTCGCTCTATATATTTGTGTTATTGTTACATTTCAACTTTACATGTCGAAACGGACAAATATAGCGAATAAAACAACTTTACTGTAGACATACGAGTACATACAAAAAGTGTACCTAAGCATTGACAGTTTTCGCTTTTACTACCCTAGTAAAGTTTCCCCTTACTATATATAAAGTAGCAGTCTAAAAATTTTAATCCATGGGATTCACCCCATAGCGATGACAAAAAGTCTATATATAGTAATTGTAACAAAGTAATTGTAACAGCCTCGATTTTTCAAAATAACCTCCATTTACTCTCCATTTAAATAAGTTTCGGCTTTCTATGAAAACAAACGTGACGCTCGAACTTTAGTTGACATTAAATACTTTACATTATATTTTGTTCTTACGATTTATTTATATTTGGATATTACATTAAAAATGTTTTCAAAATAGTCTTAAAATTGATGTAGTCAAAAAAATTACAAATAAATTCCAGTTTATAAAAAAGAGTGGAAATATAAAACAAATTACATTAAACCGATTAGAAGTTTGAGAAAAAATTCGCTGAGGCAAAGTGAGTGGATGGTACTTACCCCATAGTGGTTGCTAGGAAAGTGCTGTAGTGCTTCGGGGCTACACGTTGGCCGTAGAGTGCCGTCGTAGCCGCGTAGCACGCTTTATATTGTTAGGGCGGCACCCTCTTCCACCCCGCCTCTAGGCCGCCCAGTGCATACAGCCTCTCTGCAAACAGATATCACTCGCTTTATTATCATTTAATTATATCCCAACCATTTGTTACCAATTATAAATAAATTTATTTACCTTTATCTTCCTCCTCTTTTCTGACTACCACCTATTGACTTACCTCTTTTAACAATCACGTTATAGGCTACTGACGTCATCACTGAAGGCGCAATGACGTCACAAACAGTATGTATCACTTTCTGGAATTTACTACACTGTCTATCCTTTATTCAGTTTCGTCTTCATATGTAGAAAAACCCTTACGTGCTCTGACCAAAAGTTGTAATGATAACGAATAGTTCTAGATTTTAGATCTTCTTAGGTGACGCTATTTTATTGGTATTTAGGAATGCCATATATGTATATTTGAAAACTTTAGAAAATAATAATCTCAGTACAGAATAGTAAAAAACATTTTCAACAAGGGTGTCAAAACAATCATTTTGACACCCTTAGAGGTGGAATAATTTCTTCAAATTTAAATGGGACCACATCTGAGGTACGCTCTTTCCATCAAAAAAGAATCCATCAAAATGGAGTTATCGCGTAGCATACATACAAAAAAAAAGTACAGTCGAATTGAGAACCTCCCCCTTTATTTGAAGTCAGTTAAAAACTGTAAAGATTTTCACATAGTTGACACTAGTACGAATTAACCACCCTTGAATTATCACAGAATGCAATTATAACTCGTATGTTCATTCACATTCATATTCCACCATGTGATGAAATGCAATAATTCGTACGAACGAACACATTAAATAAATTATGTATATGTGAATTGGTAACTTTCATATTTAAGCAAAAAAGTTATCAATTGACTTAGTTCGTAGAAAAGATATACTCGTGTAATATGTCTGTGGTTCATAGAATCTCCCTCCTGAAAGTGGCTTTTTTACACTAAGGATGCGATTTATTTATAAACTATTTATTTGAGATGTCTTCTATCTCACTTTCACGATACCTATTATACACAAACACAGATATAAGATATAATCTTGGTTCAAATACGTTAACACAAAAGCTATTCTCTCAACAAACAATATAAAGGAGTAATTTCATTTTATTGTATTATTTATGTCAGAATTTTTTATTATTTAGAAAGGATTCGTATAAATTAAAAAAAGAATGTAAAATTTTCAAGCACATTCTGGGTTCAGTGTGTCTTGGAACATTTTGTAAGTCCGGTTAGAAGCTAACCTTATTATTCGACTGGCTGCAGACATTTACAGACGTACTCACGAAATTTTTAATGTCATTTAAGAAAATGTTGAAAAATATTTTCAGTTATCCATATTATTGCAGAAAACATTATTTTTAATGGATTTGTTTCGATCAATTTCTACGAAATAATAAACGGAAATAATAGTTATTACGAGTAAGGTGCTGGTGAAATTACAGGCACACGGGGATATGTCAACTTGTGTCTCAGGGTGACTGACTGGCGCAGTGGCAGCAGTTGGTATAAAAAAAAATCTATGTAATATCGTTGCTTATTTTATATTTATCCGAAACCCAAAGGAACATACAATTTCCATCGCTTTAACGAACAACTATTATATTACAAGTAACGAAAAATTTTCGACTTTTTTGACTGTTTATCAAAATTTAAATGCTAATCAGACTAACTGTCGAATTAGACATACTGCTTTTCGTGAGATTACGACTTGGTAGGTATCTTAGTTCAAAATGTGTGGGTGATACCTAAACGTCAGCTAAAACAAAGAATAAAACAAATGGGAAAGTAAAGGCGTACAAATAATACTGACGCTAAACTTAGATTCAATTCAACACAATTTACTCGTACTGATGAAAACAAACTGCGCACCTAAGTTAAATCTGCCGCAACGCAAGAGTCAAGGGTCAGTCAGAAAAGGTTCTGCTATAAGTTTAATTATATCACCGAAACCTTGAATGTGAACAAATACTGGAACAATTGAAGAATTGATTTGGGTGGTAAATTTTTGTAACAACTTACTTACACTAACATAACTGTATCCTATCAATGTATTGTGGTATGTTCTTCTTTTTATAGCGCTATAACTCCATCATTCAATCGATGATTGATCAATCATCGATGCTATCGATGTCGATCAATCGACCAATGTCGCTAAGAGGAGAATCTACAACAAGAGGCAACATACACAGGCTGTTATAAAAACAAATTGTTACTTTTAATAAATTTACATACTGCATATTCGGAGTGGACTACGGTTAGGAGGAAAGTGATATTAACGGGACGAGAGATTTTGGGGTATATAAAGCCATTTAACCTGTTCCTAACTACTTTGCTATTTTGTTTTTTTAATTTTTATATATTTTTTTTAAATGGTGGTTGAAAACACAGCTACGCGTTAATGTTGCAAAAAATTTCTTGTATCATAATAAATCAGTACCCATAGATACCTATCGATTACATTATTTGAATCAACATCACATTACAAAATGCCTAAACTGAGCGTTTCTCTTGCTAGGAATATCATTTTGATAAATCAAGAAATTCCAGATTTAAATCTATAACTCTACCAATAAAAGAGAGCTCGTATCTATTAAAATTAAAGACACTCGCTGTTTTTCAAGGATAGTGGCCTGAACCAAAATTAAATCGTTTGTCTTATTACACAGGTGCAGTTAGATGAATGAGAATGAAAATGTTTAGTAGCAGTAATGGCATAGTAACAAATTAATTTTGTGACTACCTAGCTTCAGTACCTTATCAACTATTTCCATAGTTTTGTTTATGCTGTATTTTTATTTTTAGTTCCTTATTTTTATATTTAAATTTATTATTTCGTAAAATTAGTAAGTACTACCTAATGCAACTTAGATACACTAATAATCCAATGCATAACTCAACATACATGATGTTTATTAATAAACTTTCATTCTTAATTAAAAAAACCGATAAGGAGACTTATTACTACAAGACACATTGTTACTACTGTCATACACTAAAAATCATTTATATACTTATAATAAACTTCCATACACTTAAAATAGGTACTCAGAAGCCCTCCTGTGTTGTGCCTAATAATAACATTGCTTACAATTCGATAGCACACGACTAAATCTCAATGTGAAGGCAATAAATGCGATCTGGATTACTTTTCTGTTGCCCATTCTTGCAAATGCGACGTTGATGGCCTGCGAAATAAAATACCTTCTACCTGCCGTGATCTTAGGATTATTGGACAAAACATAAAGAGTGTAGCACGTTATCTAAACAATTTTTCCACTCTACTTATAAGATCAAAAATTAGTTTTGACTTTATTGTTTTGACAGAGTGTTGGCTCCGTTCCACATCGTATGTTCCAGAACTGGACAATAATACCTACGTATCTACTACAAATCATTCCACACAGAATGAAGGTGTAGTTATATACTACACAAAGGATATAAATTTATTAACCGAAGTACCTTCGCTACGCGATGCAAACTGCCTCTCGTCAAGTTAAATAGCAATACGTGTGTTATAGGTATTTATCGACCTTCCAGTAAACAATGTACTACAGATTTTGTTGATTCCCTTGACAAATTACTACATTCCTTAAATAATTTCAAAAATATAATCTTGATAGGTGACATTAGTATCGATATTGCACAAAATACTCACGATAAACGATCATTCGAGTATCTAAATATGTTAGCGAGCCATTGTTTGCTTCCTGGTCATATTATCCCTACACAAGGACGCACTTGTTTGGATCACATCATGATTAAAACAAAGTTGAGGGCAAATTGCTACATAGTCGAGTCCTCGATTACTGATCATGAGTGCAGCATACTTAATCTAAATCTACAAACATTGCAAATGCTCAACACGTTTGACAAAATTCGTAACCATGTTGATTACTTAAATTTAGACATTACAATGAATAATAATTTAGATCTTAACCGTATATATAATATTACTGACCCACATTTAGCGACAGAATTTCTAATAGTTACATTACGTCGAGCTTTAGAAGGTAACACTAGTATGAGTAAGGTAATCTAAAAGTCAGAAACGAGTCAGCAAACTTTGGATCACAGTGGGCTTGTTGCGCTGCATGCGTAACCGAGGTAATCTCCATAAAAAACTTAAAAAGGATCCAGAAAATGAAGTCTTACAATTAACGTATAGAAGATATCGCAATTTCTGTAATACAACACTTAAAAAGGCAAAACAAGCTTATGAGAAACAAAACATTCAGAACGCAGGTAGTAATACAAAGAAACTGTGGGAAGTTATTAAAAATATTTCCTACATGAAGAGGAGAGCGGATCATTCTGCTAACCTTATTGCTGACGGTGAAGATTCGGATGGACGCGTTAATGATGTGAATTCCTTCTTTGCAAATATTGGCCGAAATCTTGCGAAGCGGATGGGTAAGACAGAAAGTCATGAGTTGGTTTCAGTAACCCCTTCCACCGTCAACTCAAAATCATTAGTACTTTTCCATGACCATGACCATGATGATTATTTATTCTTTAAATTTAATGTTCATTATGGGATTAAGAAATGAGTGTGCTGTTGGTGACGACCAGTTGTCGGGTAGTTTCCAAAAAAGGATATAAAGACCTACTTATACCACCTATAATTTACGTCTGCATTCTCTATTGATTCTGGTATTTTTCCTACTCCGTTAAATCATCAATTATAAAACCCATATACAAGAGTGACGATAAAGGCTGTGTCGGTAACTATAGGCCAATTTCTGTCTTACCAAATTTATCCAAGATCTTGGAAAAAATTTTGAAGAAACGCCTAGTCAACTTCCTAGAGTCAAATTGCCCACTATAAGCTGTCCAATATTGTTTTCGCGCTGGTGTTTCTACTGGAGACGCAGTACATGACCTCACACATGATATTGTCCGTAGCCTTGACGAAAGGAGGAAATGTTTAGCTGTCTTCCTAGACCTTGCAAAGGCATTCGACACTGTCTACTCATTTTTGGATGTATGACT